TGTTTCAACACCCTGGTGCTGTCCTATGCAGCGAGTTGAACGAAGCCCCATAAAAGCCATTTCCTTCCTCTTTCCTGGCACAGCAGAAATGCAAAGGAGATTGAGATCTGCTGTAGTGAGTTGACAGCTCAGTGCCCAGGACACCACGGAGCGTGGGGCTGCTTATGCTGGTAAGTACCTAGTGAAACAGCCACCCTGCCTGGAGCACAAGGGCAGTTCAGGGGCTGCGTGGCCCTGTACATTAATGCTGTGCCATGTGTTTGGGTCAGGATCACTTTGTGGACGGGCAGAAAATGAAGCTCCCTGGGGCAGGGCTGCAGCCAGGGGCAGACACTGAGGTAGGATCAAGATGGAGACTCTGCAATATTGTTAGAGAGAGAAGAGCTGCTGGGAATTGTGTCGTCAAGGGGAACTTTGGCCTCTCAGATGTCAAGTGGGGAGTAAATGCTTTAAAGGTTGGTAGGACCGAGGGATCCCCAGATGTGAGTCAACAGTTTTCCTCTCCAAAGAGTCACTGAAAGAAGAAGAGGCGATGCTGTTTGGGGCTTGGTCTGGGTGGTGGGTGAGCTCACACGGAAGTGGCAGTAGCAGAAAATAACTTTGGACAGAGATCCTGGGTTGATTTGGCTGAAACTAAAGGGTTTAGACAGAAGCAGTTTTTCATTATAAACAGACAGACCTCTGAAAACGGAGGGTAGGTATCAGAGAGTGTGGTCAGCGGGACAGAGCGTCTCTGGACCTGAGGGTGGAGTCCCCTAGAAAATCTTTCAGGCAAAGATGCTAAAATGACCTGGGATTTGCATCCTAAACAAGGGGTAAATGCCCGTGGGGTCCCAGCCCCTCCTCATCCCTCCTAAGTTCAGGATATCAATAGGAGCGCAAGCTCAGAGCACTAGGTCAACTTCCCCATTTCTTCTTCCCCACAAGAAAATGTTTGACTTTGGTGAAGCCCCACGAAGTACTGCTTAATTGTCTGTGAATGCTTTAGTCCATTGGTTTTGATGACTCCCCAACCACTATAGACTTCCCTTTTAATTGTGTTTTCTGACACAGGCTTATATTAACTAAACATGATGTGAGAGGCAAGGATTTCTTAGGGTGGTATCTTTTATTGAAACAACTGCATAGTTGGAGTAGAGTTAGATAAGCAAGACATTTTTCATCAGGTCCCTGGTCTAACTCTATTCCAGCTATACAGTTGGTCCAATAAAAGATACCAACCTAAGAAATCTTGGCCTCTCCCATAATTTCTAGACCATCACAGCTACAACATCACTCTTACACTTACATAAACACAATGCACATTTTCATCCAAGCATATTTCAGTAACAAAGACCAACGGTTTATGCAATGGGATTGTAGGTGACTGCACACGATTACATGTTTCCTATCAAATGACAAAGCATCCCAGTGGTTCAGCTGTCACTTCTCATTAAATGCGGTGCTTGCCAAAAGCACCGATCAGTCCTTGCCCCAGCGTAAGGCCAATGGCCTTGAACAAACACTACGGGGTTTACGACTCAGGTATCTTGTTCTCAGTGGAACCAAACCCTCAGACTAGCCACAACTTTTCCATTTGATAATCAGCAAATTGTATTGATACACAGTGGGCACGTATACATGAGAAAGTATCCACCCCCCTGTGGTGTAACACACAGCCATGACAGGAGTTTGGCTTTCAAGAATTTGGGGTTTCATAGCATGAGTTTTGCTTTTCTGCAGCTTGAGGGGAAGTTCCCCGCAAACCCCTGCACCGATCTTCTTGAAACTTGGCAGGCTTTGTGGCCTTAGTAAGAGCTACCAGCCCTGCAGTTTTCACCCCCCTGTGTTATCACACCTAGACGTGACATGAGCTTTGCTTTCAAGAATTTGGGGTGCAGTTCCCCCCAAACCCCTGCACCGATCTTATTGAAACTTGGCCGGCTTCATCCTCTCTGCAGTCTACCATCTCTGAAAATTTCATCCAAATTGGACAAAAAACAACAAAGTTATAGATATTTTATTGTTTCCCTGTTATACCCTATGGCTGGATCTCTGAGGCAGCTCCGAGGTGCTCCAAAGCTCTTCGGGAAGCTGGACGAGGCCAGCGCTTCAACCCGAATGTGCTGCTTCTGACCTCGAAGCGTCTGAAGCTTCTCCGGATCCAAAGCTCTGTCTGAAGCCTCGCACAGCCCTGTAAACAACAAAGTTATAGATATTTTATTGTTTCCCTGTTATACCCTATGGCTGGATCTCTGAGGCAGCTCCGAGGTGCTCCAAAGCTCTTCGGGAAGCTGGACGAGGCCAGCGCTTCAACCCGAATGTGCTGCTTCTGACCTCGAAGCGTCTGAAGCTTCTCCGGATCCAAAGCTCTGTCTGAAGCCTCGCACAGCCCTGTTGATAACTGACACCCAGGAAAAAGCCAGCCTGCTTAATGGGTACTTCGCATCAGTCTTTCATCAGCCCAAAGGGACCGCCCTGCCTTGCATGACGTGGGACGGCCAGGGTGAGGGCATATTCATACCCAGCATTGGTGTAGATCTTGTAAAGGAACACCTTGAGAGGCTGGACATTTTCAAGTCAGCTGGTCCTATTTCACCCTAGAGTACTCAAGGAGCTGGCAGGTGTCATAGCCCAACCACTGGGAAAAAAATATTCAAAAACTCATGGCGCTCAAGTGAAGTACCTGAAGACTGGAAGAAGGCCAATGTGGTAGGCATTTTTAAGAAAGGGTGGACAGTACATCCCAGGAATTACAGACCAATCAGCTTGACCTCAATCCTCAGTAAGATTCTGGAGAAAATGATCAAAGACCCTTCTTGATAAGCTGGCTGATGGCAACCTCCTGAGCAACAACCAGCATGGGTTTGTTGCGGGTAGGTCTTGCCTGACTAATCTCATCTCTTTCTATGACCAGGTGACACATCACCTGGACAAGGGAGAAGAGATTGGCATTATGGCGGGCCAGTAGGGGGCGCTCCTGCGTTGAGCCGCCCACCTCCCTGCGCCCGACCACCTTCCAGGCTCCGAGTGCCTCCCTGGGGTGCCTCCCG